TAAAAAATCAATAAAATATATTTTTTAAAAAAAAAGAATCTACGGAAATGAATTTTTTTTTTTTTTACAATGCCTGTTTTCAAACTGATGACCATTGGGGTCCAGGCACTGCTGATAATGCAAAGCAGTGGAATTGCAAACATCAAGAATCAATTCGTTCTGTATTTGTGCACCCCAATCCATCAACTATTGCCAGTTTTGTACTGTAAACTTTATCTTTTATATATCACCATTAAAAAGTCTAATGGATAAAATGTCTTTGTTCATAGCTTAATCAAGCTTTACCTATTATTTCAAATCAGTTTAACCTGAAAAGGAGTGAAAATTCAGTGAGTTATCAGCTCTTAAAGTGTGTATACATTGTTGGGGGACACCCTGTGTCCCCAAAGAAGTATATACACACTTTGAATAATTATAAAGGCAGTGTGTGTACTTCAACTGTGTTTTCAAACTTCCAGTAGCCTTTTAGGATGCATTTCCTTTGTTTAGAGCTTACTCTGGCTGAAAAGAAAGAAACATCAACTGAGCTATCAGCCTTTGAAGTTTGTATACATGTTTTTGGGACACCCTATATTTGTAATAAGTACTTTAATAGTTTCACAGTGATACTAATTTTTGTCTTATGAGATAATTTTTCAGCATTGTCCTTCATTATTAAATTCATTATTATTGTCATCATTAAAAATAAGGATGGAAAAGAAGTACCAAAGTTGCATTTGTTTCTCTAGTTAGTTAAGAACTTCTAAATGCATTCATTAATTTATTAATTTTAATATCTTCAGCCAGATCTATGTAAATAATATCATGTTGCACATTAAGATGGCAACTTGTAGCATACATGGACAATTGTAGCATAAATGTTTGAGTGAATATAAAATGATTTATCCTACAATTTGAAAATATACCTTTATTGAGATGTTTGTGATTTTGTGATTTCGTCTATGGTTATGAGGAATTTGTCATCATCTTTGACTCACCCTGTTTATAAAGCTCTTGTTTAAAAATGCATGAGATAGATGGCTCTGTTTTGTGGTGGTAAATTCACAGATGATGCTACAAGAGTGCCTCTCGGAGATGAAGGTGGATATATCAACGCCAGCTTCATTAAGATACCAGTGGGGAAGGAAGAGTTTGTTTACATTGCCTGCCAAGGACCTCTCCCTACAACTGTTGGCGATTTCTGGCAGATGATTTGGGAACAAAAGTCCACAGTGATAGCCATGATGACCCAAGAGGTAGAAGGGGAAAAAGTCAAATGCCAGCGCTACTGGCCTAACATCCCCGGCAAAACGACAATGGTCAGCAACAGGCTTCGGCTGGCGCTGGTGAAAATGCAGCCGCTGAAGGGCTTTGTAGTAAGAGCAATGACCCTAGAGGATATTCAGGTGAGGAAAATAAGTCTTTCCATTTGCTAAGGCTTGTCTCCTAGTAGGAATGCAGGCCTGGACCCTTTCCATGATCGTATCAATGTATTTCTCAAAAAAAAAGCCAGTGATTTCTTGGTTCCCATTTCAATGGAACTAATGCCACCTATTATTTTTTGTCTGATAGAAGTTTAAATGTGACCCTCTTCTTGAATTCTGCCAGTTTCCTCCAGTACATACTGTATTAAAATGAAAATGAGAATACTGGGCTTTTAATGTGATCATCCATCTTTGCTTAGTGATCGCACAGAATGGCTCAGAGGCTGTGCACTGGAGACTCATTTTTAAAAAGTCAAACCTTTAAGTAGACTCAATAAAACTGTTTTTTAAAAATCTTTAAGTAGCAGATATTCCTCCATAAAGGCGTCTTGGGTAGTACATGGACAATTGTAGCATAAATGTTTGTCATTCCAGTAATTCCTACTGTGGCCACCTAACAACTGAATAAATTTAGCTTGAATTAGACAATTGGGTAGACCTTAAGTAAAGCTACTGTTTCTTCTCCTCCACACTTTATTTCACTCCTCCCCCCAGGAATACTAGTTACGAGTGAGTAATGTGTTTCCAATTGGCGTTTTAGCGCTCTTAAAGAAAGTAGTTTTACTTTCACAGAAACAAAGCATACGAGCATATTCACTCAGTTCTGCTGGCAGCATGTAAATGTAGCCTGAGAATTTCCTTTGTGATTTTTTATTTTTGATTTTACAAAGAATTAAAGTTTATATCTCCTTATTCATTTACACCAGCTTACATTACCTATGCAAGCACCATTGTTCACTATTTCTTAAATATTTAATTAAATATTTATCTAATTAAATTAAATTTTAAAAAATTAAATATTTATTTAATCAACACATGTTTATAGATTTCAGGCCCTGTTATGGAATTAAGGGATTCAGCAATTAGCACAGACAAAAAAGAAACTGTGACTTCATGGAGCTTACCCTCTAATGAGAGAATACTGGTGCTGTGGAAAAAACCACGTGGACATGGTGGGGGGCATTTCAGTCAGGAAGAGCGAGTGCAAAGGCCCTGAGACTGAATTGTGCCTAGTGTTTTTAAAGAACCACAGAGAGATCCCGGTGGCTGGAGCAAGGTGGCCAGGAGCAAACGGTTAGGTCTGAGAGGTAGCTGGGCCAAATTACATAGGGTTTTTAAGCCAGTGCAATGACTGGCTTTTATCTGGGGTGAGTTTGAAATGGGGCCATTAAAAAAAAAAAGGTTGTTATCAAAACATATTTTCATTTAGGACTTCCAAAAAGCAGTTTTTACCAATATTTAAAATGTGGATCTAGCGTCCTCCTTGATAAAGGCCCTCCATGTGTTTGATGGAGTTTTTTTTGTCTCTCATTTTCCTTTGATTTCATCTGATGGAAAAGCTAATTTTGAAAGGATAAAATAATATTAAGAAGTAACTACATGTGAACAATATAGCATGCCTTTATATTCCTATTCTATTGTAATTTCAGACACGAGAGGTGCGACATATTTCCCATCTGAATTTCACTGCCTGGCCGGACCATGATACACCTTCTCAGCCAGACGACTTGCTCACTTTCATCTCTTATATGAGACACGTTCACAGATCAGGCCCAATCATCACCCACTGCAGCGCTGGCATCGGACGTTCAGGGACTCTGATATGCATAGATGTGGTGCTAGGCTTAATCAGTCAAGATCTTGAGGTAAGGACAAGGATAGGCTGAGTGAGCATTTGACCAGAAATAACGGTGGAATCTAACTTTTTATTTTTTTATTTATCTTTATTATTGAAAGTATTACAGATATCCCCTTTTCCCCCACCATTGACCCCCTCCACCCTGCTCCCTTTCTCTCCCCAGGCCTTCCGCTAACTATTATCTGTCCGTGGCTATGCATATATAGCATATAAGTTCATTGGTTAATCTCTTCCCATCCCCCACCCCTCCCTCTAGCATACGTCAGTCTGTTCCATGCTTCAATGACTCTGGATCTATTTTGTCCATCAGTTTATTTTGTTCATTAGATTCCACATATGAATGAGATCATGTGATACTTGTCTTTCTCTGACTGGCTTATTCGCTTAGCCATAATACTCTCCAGGTCCCTCCATGCTATCTCAAAGGGTAAGAGATACTTCTTTTTTACTGCTGCATAGTATTATGTACCACAGTTTTTTATCCACTCATAAAAAAAATATTATAAGTATTACAAAGGGTATTACATATGTGTCCTTTTTTTTCCCCGCCCTTGACAATCCCCTGCCCTCCCTTACCCCCCAGTGTCTTATGTCCATTGGTTTTGCTTATATGCATGCATACAAGTCCTTCGGTTGATCTCTTACTCCCCTCCCTTCTGCCCCCCAACCCTCTCTGGCCTTCCCACTGCAGTTTGACAATCAGTTTGAGGCAGCTCTGCCTCTGTATCTATTATTGTTCAAAAGTTTGTAATGGTCTTTATTATCCATGAATGAGTGAGATCATGTGGTATTTTTCCTTCATTGACTGGCTTATTTCACTTAGCATAATGCTCTCCAGCTCCATCCATGCCGTTGCAAATTGTAAGAGTTCCTTCTTTTTTACAGCAGCATAGTATTCCATCGTGTAGATGTACCACAGTTTTCTAATCCATTCATCTACTGATGGGCACTTAGGCTGTTTCCAAATCTTAGCTATGGTGAATTGTGCTGCTATGAACATAGGGGTGCATATATCCTTTCTGATTGGTGTTTTTGGTTTCTTGGGATATATTCCTAGAAGTGGGATCACAGGGTCAAATGGGAGTTCCATTTCCAGTTTTTTGAGGAAACTCCATACTGTCTTCCATAGTGGCTGCACCAGTCTGCATTCCCACCAGCAGTGCACAAGTGTTCCTTTTTCTCCACATCCTCTCCAGCACTTGTCGTTTGTTGATTTGTTGATGATAGCCATTCTGACAGGTGTGAGATGGTACCTCATTGTTGTTTTGATTTGCATCTCTCGGATGATTAGTGACTTTGAGCATGTTTTCATATGTCTCTTGGCTTTCTGAATGTCCTCTTTTGAAAGGTGTCTATTTAGGTCCTTTGCCCATTTTTTGATTGGATTGTTTATCTTCCTTTTGTTAAGTTGTATGAGTTCACTGTAAAGGTTGGAGATTAAACCCTTATCGGTGATAACATTGGCAAATATGTTCTCCCATGCAGTGGGCTTTCTTGTTGTTTTGTTGATGGTTTCTTTTGCTGTGCAGAAGCTTTTTATTTTGATGTACTCCCATTTTCTCTTTAGTTTCCAATGCCCTAGGAGCTGTAATGGTGAAGAAATTGCTTCGTCATATGTCTGAGATTTTGTTGCCTTTGGACTCCTCTAGTATTTTTATGGTTTCCTGTCGTATATTTAAGTCCTTTATCCATTTTGAGTTTATTTTTGTGTATGGTGTAAGTTGGTGGTCTAGTTTCATTTTCTTGCATGTATCTGTCCAATTTTCCCAGCACCATTTATTGAAGAGACTGTCTTGACTCCATTGTATGTTCTTGCCTCCTTTGTCAAATATTAATTGAGCGTATTGGTTGGGGCTGATTTCTGGGCTCTCTATTCTATTCCATTTATCTATATGTCTGTTCTTGTGCCAGTACCAGGCAGTTTTGAGAACAGTGGCTTTGTAATACATCTTGATATCTGGTATTGAGATCCCACCTACTTTGTTCTTTCTCAGGATCGCTGCAGCTATTCGGGGTCTTTTTTTATTCCAGATGAATTTTTGGAGAGTTCGTTCTAGATCTTTGAAGTAGGCCATTGGTATTTTAATGGGAAGTGCGTTGAATTTATAGATTGCTTTGGGTAGTATGGACATTTTAATGATGTTGATTCTACCAATCCAAGAACATGGTATGTTCTTCCATCTGTTTATGTCTTCCTCTATCTCTTTTTTCAACATCCTGTAGTTTTCTGAGTAGAGGTCTTTTACCTCTTTAGTTAAGTTTATTTCTAGGTAGCTTAATTTTTTGGTGCAATGGTAAATGGGATTGCTTTTTTAGTCTCTCTTTCTATAAGTTCACTATTGGTGTATAGAAAGGCCATAGATTTCTTGGCCTTAATTTTGTATCCTGCTACATTGCCGAATTCATTTATTAAGTCTAATAGTTTTTTGATGGACCACAGATTTTTTATTCATTCATCAACTGATGGGCACTTGGACTGTTTCCAGATCTTAGCTATTGTAAATAACACTGCGATAAACATAGGGGTGCATATATTTTTTCTGATTGGTGTTTCAGGCTTCTTCAGATATATTCCTAGAAGTGGGATCACTGGGTCAAGTGGCAGTTTCATTTTTAATTTTTTGAGGAACCTTCACACTGTTTTCCACAGTGGCTGCACTAGTAATTGAGTTCTAGTTTCATGCCCTTGTGATCCGAGATGATGCTTGATATGATTTCAATCTTCTTCAATTTGTAGAGACTTAGTTGGTGTCCTAACATGTTGTCTATCTTTGAGAATGTCCCATGTGCACTTGAGAAGAATGTATATTTAGCAACTTTGGGGTGAACTGTTCTGCAAATGTCAATTAAATGTATTTGATCTAGTGTGTTATTTAGGGTCTCTGTTTTCTTGTTAATTATTTTGTCTAGAAGATCTATCCATTGATGTCAGTAGGGTATTAATAAGTCCCCTACTATGAGTGCACTGCTATTTATCTCTCTCTTAAAATCCTCCAGAAGTTTTCTTATATATATATATAGGTGCTCCTATATTGGGTGCATATATATTTACAGGGTTATAGCCTCTTGTTGTATTAATCTGTTTATTATTATGAAGTGGCCTTCATTGTCTCTTGTTATGGCGTTCACTTTGATGTCTATTTTGTCAGAAATGAGTATTGCTACCCCAGATATTTTTTTAATTTCCATTTACATGGAAAATTTTTTCCCATCCCTTCACTTTCATCCTGTGTGAGTCTTTTGTTCTGAGGTGAGTCATGTTTTCTTATCCAGCTACCCTATGTCTTTTGATTGGAGCATTTAATCCATTTACATTTAAGGTTATTATTGATAGGTATTTATTTGTTGCCATTTTTATTATTTATGCTTATGTTCCTCTCTTTCTCTTTACTTCTTCTTCATCTTACAACAGTCCCTTTAGCATTTCTTGCAGTGCTATTTAGTGGTGATAAACTCTTTTAGGTTTTTTTTGTCTGCAAAGCTATTTATTTCACCTTCAATTTTGAATGATAGCCTCATTGGATAGAGTAGTCTTGGATTCAGTCCCTTGCTTTTCATTACTTTGTATACTTCATTCCAGTCCCTTCTGGCCTGAAGTGTTTCTACCGATAAATCAGCTGACAGTCTAATGGGAGCTCCCTTGTAGGTAACTTTCTGTCTCTCCCTTGCAGCCTTTAAGATTCTTTCTTCGTCATTAACGTTTGCCATTTTAATTATGATGTGTCTATGTGTGGGTCTTTTGGGGTTCATCTTGATTGGGACTCTGTGTTTACTGAACCTGAGTGGCTTTTTCCTTAGCCAGGTTAGGGATATTTTGTCATTAGTTATTCAAACAGGTCCTCTATTCCTTGCTAAGGTTCTTCTCCTTCTGGTACTCCTGTGATGCACATGTTGTTATGTTTCATGTTGTGTCAAAGCTCCCTTAAACTCTCCTCCTGCTTTTTAATTTCTTTTTCTCATTGTAGCTCTGAATGGGTGTTTTTTCTACCCATTCTATCTTCTAAATTCACTGATTTGGTCCTCTGCTTCCTGTAGTCTACTATGATTCCTTCCAGGGTATTTTTATTTTTTTAAAGGATACCCTGGAGGGTATTTTTTCTATTGATTTTTAGAGAGAGTGGAAAGGAGGGAGAGAGAGAGAGAGAGAGAGAGAGAGAGACATTGATTGGTTGCTTCTGCACACACCCCAACCAGGACAGGATCGAGCCTGCAACTGAGTTATGTATCCTTGACTTAAATTGATCCCGAGACCCTTCAGTCTGCAGGCCGATGCTCTAACCCTTGAGCCAAATTGGCTAGGATATTCTTTATTGCAACTATGTCATTCTTCCTTTCTGCTTGATTCTTATTCATGGTTTCTACCTCTTTTTTCATGCTGGTGTAATTCTCATTAAGTTCCATATAATTCTCTGGAATCTAACTTTTTAATGTGTTAGGATCTTGGAAATTTTTTTTATCAGTTTATATGAATGCCTTAATTTTCTTACTATGCAGAATTGTTTTTTGTAAATGTTCAAAACTGCATGGACCATAATGAAAAAGAAATAATACTTCAACTTTCTATTTGTTTTACTGTTGTTGTTTTTTTAGCCATGTGCTCAAAAGCCCCTTATGGATTTCACTCTTTATGTTCTTTAGGCTTATATAAAATAAAGTCAATATTGTTATCATGCTTTTAGGGATAGAAATATTGAAGCACAAAAGAAAGTATATTTTGAAATGAACAGGCTTATACTCTTTTGTTGTTATTATTGTTACCTATTGGTGGGAAATGTATATTTTGTTAAACAAATTAATGTTAAATAGTCTATCTCTAAACAGTTACTCCCAATTTAAAAATTATTATGAAGCCGAAACCAGTTTGGCTCAGTGGATAGAGCGTCAGCCTGCAGACTCAAGGGTCCCAGGTTCAATTCTGGTCAAGGGCATGTACCTGGGTTGCGGGCACATCCCCAGTGGGAGATGTGCAGGAGGCAGCTGATCGATGTTTCTCTCTCATCGATGTTTCTAACTCTCTATCTCTCTCCCTTCCTCTCTGTAAAAAATCAATAAAATATATTTTTTTTAAAAAATCATTATGAAATAAATAAAGTTAATGAGTGTAATATTACTTAATATCTAAGTTAGTGTAAACATCACTTAAAATGTTAGAATATTGAACAATACATAATATGTAATTATACTATTTGTCTTTAAAATTTTTTTAGTTAAAAGCAGTTCTATCTTGCACTTCACACTCTATTATATCTATGATAATAATTTAAGAGGGACAAAACAAAATAGTCTGCTTCCCCCTTGTTTCAAATTTAAATATCAGTGAAAATGAAAAGATCAGGAATTTTATTCTGAAAAGGAAAACATAGGAAATTTAGTTTTCCTTTTCTTTCTTTCTTTCTTTTTTTATTAGAAATTAGTCAAATTTTAGAGGGACAAGAATTTATTTTGTGGATTTTCAAATACAATAACCTTCCTTAATTCTTAAAATTATGAAATGATGGCAAAGTCAGTTCACCAAGTTATTTTGTCCATAATAGTTTGGAATGCTAGAAGGAGAAGGAGAATGGGGTACAGAAATATATATAAGCCACTTGACTCTGTGAATCTTTGGCGTTCAAATTGGGCTATGCTTTTTACCTAACATAGACTCTGCTTTGTTTGTTTTGGGCAGTTTGACATCTCTGATTTAGTGCGCTGCATGAGACTACAAAGACATGGGATGGTTCAGACAGAGGTGAGTCTTGATGTCTTCTAGTAAGGATTTTCATGAAGATTCTGATATTTTAAAAGTTCTAGTTAAATCATTTTTCTTTTGAGTGTTCCCACATTATTGTATAAATTCAAAGATTTATGTAATGAGGGACTTAAAAAAATAAATAAATAAAGCATGAGGACTAATTCAGGGGAAAAAAGAAAAAGAAAAAGAAGCCCAGCCAGCATCGGTCTGTGGTTGAGCGTTGACCTATGAACCAGGAGGTCATGGTTCGATTCCGGTCAGGGCCCATGCCTGAGTTGTGGGTTTGATCCCCCAGTGAGGAGCGTGCAGGAGGCAGCTGATCAATGATTCTCTCTCATCATTGATGTTTCTATCTCCCTCTCCCTTCCTCTCTGAAATCAGGTTGAGAACCGCTGGCTTAGAGTGTCTGCTCTGAGTAGCTCCACTCTCCTTTTTGTTTGCATTGTGGGGAGGGTTGTGGAAACTATTTTCATATATCTGTGAATTCACATCTCTCTACCTCTTTAAGTATATAGAAGTTTACTATCTTTAAAATTAGGATTTGCCTACTTTTCTTTTATATACCTTTTAATTCAAATTAAAGGTAAATATTAAGCTCCTTCACAGTCACAGTTTTTAGGTATTGACCTGTATAAGCAGGTCTTTAGACCCAGGAAGTTCACTGGTTCGGCAGATGTCGATTTGTGCCTCCTGTGTACCCACACTCCTCTAGGTGCCTGGAGCACATCAGTGAATAAAACGAAGACCCTGCTGGAATAACAGAGACCTTCTAGCAGCGGTTCTCAACCTGTGGGTCGCGACCCCTGAAAATACATCCTGCATATCAGATATTTACATTACAATTCATAACAGTAGCAAAATTACAGTTATGAAGTAGCAACGAAAATAATTTTATGGTTGGGGGTCACCACAACATGAGGAACTGTATTAAAGGGTTGTGGCATTAGGAAGGTTGAGAACCACTGTTAGTGGGAGGGTGATAAGGAAGGCAGATGTAGACACATTAAATAAGTAAATTTTGAAGTGATAGGTGCTTTAGAGGGAAAACAGGTAGAGTGGGGTAAAGAGTGGTGGCATGTTGAGGTGCTATTTTAAATAGGTGGCACCACTGAGAATAATACTCGAGCAAAGATTTGGAGAAGGTGAAGGAGGGGGGTCATGTTTCCGGCAGACAACCACCTGCATGGAAGTCCAAGGTGAGAGTGGGTCTTGTGTGTTTAAGGACGGTCTCGGCCAGTGGCTGAGGTGGAGGGAGGAGGGGCGGGTGAGAAGGGAGATGACAGAGCCAGGGCTTAGGTTTTGCTGTGAGTGAAATGGAGCCATGGCAGGGTTGTCAGTACGGAGTGACATGATCTGACTCACATTTTAAAGGATCACTCTGGCTGCTGTGTTAAAACAAGACCCAATTTGGGGAGGAGGATGCAAGGTTAGAAGCAGGAAGGTCAGGTAGGTGGCAAGCAGTGATGGCGCTGACTAGAATAGTGGGTGTGGATATAAGGAGAAGAGAAGTGGGTTTGCTGCTCTGGCCGGTGTGGATCAGTTTGTTGGGCTTCATCTCATGCACCAAAAGGTTGCCGGTTCAATTCCCAGTCAGGGCACATACCCAAGTTGCAGGTTTGATCCCTGGTAGGGGGCATGCAGAAGGCATTCAATCGATGATTCTCTCTCTCTCTCCCCCCCCCTTCCTCTCTCTCTAAAAATCAATTAAAAAATGTTTTTTTTTAAAAAGAGAAGTGGGTTTGCTAATGGATTGTTTGGTGTGTGAGAGAAGATTAAGGATGAATGTGTGGAAAATGTAGGCAAGTTAAAAGACAGATGAGCAAAAAGTAAATAAAAGATTTAGCTTTATTCCTACTCTTCAGAGTTGTTGATGTTTTTAGCAACACTCTTATATTCTTCAGTCACAGGTGTGCATACTCACACACACACAACTGTTTTCACTGTGACTCCGCTATGTTTATTGTTTTACTAGTAGCCCGGTGCACAAAAATTTGTGCACTCGGGGGGGGAGGGGTGTCCCTCAGTTATTAAACACTTATCAGCACAACACTGACCACATTGGTGGTGGTGGTGGTCTTGTCAGAATGTGTTATATTATGCAGATGAAAATCTATTTAAACAGATTTGATGTAGATATTTTCAAAGATGGAAGAATTGTCCCTGTCAACTATTTTAGTTGATTCATATCTTCA